CAGAACGAAACTTCAGGAGTTCCCTACGACAGCAGACGCTGCTTTCTTTTTTTGGGTCTAAAATGCAATCACCACTGAGCAATAAGGACCAGTAAGAACGTTACGTACAGTTACATTTACAGTCGTTGCAGTTTATCGTTACAGTTGTTTAAAATGGTTTTTTTTTTCTTGAAATAAGTTTAATATACGTAATTTGCACTACATTGTATACCGAAGGAGCTGAAATCAATAAACTTTTAATTATTAACCTAAAAAATTGAATATTTTAATTGACCCCGATAACTCGAAACCCCGCTAACTCGAATAGATTTTCGTTGCCCTTCAGAATTCGAGTTAGCTGGGTTCTACTGTACATACATCCATCAACTTTATTTATACACGATGAATGATAAAAGCTAAACGCTTTTGGGATTGTGTGTTTAGTCATCTAATCAAATTAATAAGAAACTTAATAAATAGCTTAAGGCTCTAAACAAATTCTGAAATCTCATGTAAATACAGTTGTAATGTCTTAAAACTCTAAAAATATCTAAAATCTTGATTGCTAAAATCAACTGTAGAAGCTGATTCTACTTTAAAAGTAAACTCTGTGAGATCTTCAATTTTACTTAATCTAGAGCAGTTCTATCTGGCTGAGAAGCAATATCAGACTTTTTTGATGTGGTTGCATTCCAGAGGACTGCCCCTCTGTAACTAATAGATTGCTGTAAATAACAAGATATAAATCTAGGTACAACATTATTATCTATCCCCCCTAAATGCACAACATGACACCCTCTTGTTAATGATACTAGTACACAGTTGTTTTGGTAATAAAGAGTTTGTCCTTGAGATGTATGCCAAAGTCTTCCATTTGGCTATTTTTAGGGACTCTTCATTCAATATGTCCTTTAAATTGTAAATAATCCTTGCTGCATGACTGTGGAGATTCTCCAGTGTCCTGAATAGCTCTGAATTACTTGCCCAAGTGACCAGACTGTAAGTGACAGATGGCAGAATAACCCTTAAATAGAAATTTTCCAGTACACTCTTGGGAAGAAATCGTGATTTTCTCAGCAAGTTGAGCTTGCGTGAGAAGCTCTATTTCACTTCTGACAAGTGTGGTGGCCATGTCAGCTTGTTGTTAACCGTCACTCCTAGTAAGCGTGATTTTCAACCCATGTTATCAAGGAGCCCCTGATAGCAACAGGAGGAATAGGTCCGATATAATTAGGCCTAGTCGTAAGCATAGCCTGTTTATGAGACATCACTCATACAGCTCTGCTAACACTCTGTTTAATAGTGAAACTGTTATATCCTCATTGTTCCCAACACAGTATACTGTGATGTCATCAGCGTACATGTATGTCTCTCCTGAAGCCACACAGGATGGAAGGTCGCTGGAAAATATAGCAAATAATGTCGGTCCTAATACTGAGCCCTGTGGGACTCCAACTTGAACTGACTGGGTCCCAGATTCGGTGCTGTTGACCACAGTGAACTGTTCTGTCACTTAGATAACTGTTTAACCAGTTTAGCAATGGACCAGAGACACCAAAATTGTGCTGTAACTCTGTTTCAGGAAAGAGTGCTGAACACAATCAAAGGCTTTCTAGAAGTATATAAATGCAATTACGATGGCTTTTCCCTTATCAAGCTCTTTTCTCCACAGCTCAGTCAGCTGTGTTAGTAGTAACTCAGTAGAATATCCTTTGCGGTATGCCCACTGTCTGACTGCAGCAAGGTCGTTAGCTGTGAAAACATGACCGACTAAGTCATTCACAAGTTCTTCAAGTTTCTTGCTTGGTATGCTCAGAAGCGAGACTGGTCTGTAGTTGGCGATATCTGTCTCATTGTCCTTTTTGTGTAGTGCGTAATCCTTGCCACTTCCCATTGCAAAAACACAGTTTCACGATCAATACTGTGCTGGTACAAGCTGACTAAAGATGGGATTACTGTGTCTCCAGCCACTCTTAATAACTTTGGATGAATATTGTCTGGTCCAGCAGAATTTTTCACTTGCAATGAGTTAATCTTCCTGGATACTGCTTCTCTGTTTAAGACAACCTGAGACAAAAGTGGTACTTCTTTGTTCTCCAGAGTTATAGGTTGCAGATGCGTTGATGTTGGCAGTAAGTTATTTATTCTACTTTGGAGAGGTCATATTTAAAATCTTCTGACATTTTTCTGCTGAGAGACCTGAATTGTGACTACGATGACTCTAGTGATACAGCATATAGTAATATGCTGCAAACCATTTTAGATAATTTCAATATGCAAAAAATCATCTCTAAACCGACGAGAACTACAATTGAATCATCTTTGCTGACTGATCTCATTGTCACAACCAATAGGGATTTGGTAAGCTCCACGGGAGTATTTCCACTTGGTATTTCTAACCTTGATTTCATTTATGCCACTTTACGTCTAAGACACAAAATGCCACCTCCACGAGTCATCAAAATATGGAATTATAAGAACTCTGATGGAAAGAGCTTCAAATCTGACCTTGTTAACACACCATTTCATGCTACCAGATGTTTTGAGGATATGGATGATGTTCTGTGGGCCTGGTAGTCTCTGTTTAATGATATCTGTGATGAACACGCTCCTTGGAAGGAAGTGAAGATCAAAAGCCAGGCACCACTGTGGATAACAAATGAAAAACGCCTAAAGATGAACAGGAGAGTTAAGCTTTTTAAATTAGCCGTAGCCTAAGACAGTGGAATGACATTA